AATAGTGATTTAGTAATTATATTAAGAATTAAGGAAGCTTGAAGTGTTCTAAAAATTACATAAGTTTTTAGTAATTAACAATTTCGCAATTAATTAGAATAGTATTAAAAAATTCCATAAGTACTTGAAAAAAAATGTCTACATTTTACTATCCAAAAATCCAGGACGCTTAAAATCTCGAAAATTTCGACGCTCCAGTACGCGCTTAATCCTTTTGATATTAAAACATTCCAAGCTTTCAGTCAGAATTTCCGCGCGTGGCAGCACTAAAATTAAAATATTTCAACGTCCTAATTGTTTGAATCAAAATCATCGTAGAAAATATTAGATTCTTTTTTTTTTTTTACTCCTGCGAGACGAGATCGCATGGAACAGAGCTAGCGCTACGGAGCTAAATTACTTGCCTAATCGGGCTTCGCCAGACGCGATCCGCGGACGAAAACAAGAATTATTAGGACGTCGAGAGCAACGGGGGGGAGGGCTGGAGAGAGATATCTAAATTTCTGGCAAACGCCGAGTCTATTCTTGCCCGTGTTATCGCGATCGGCGCGTGCATCAATCCACGCCGAGTTTATGCTCGACATTGCATCTAAATCAGCCCACTGAGTAGACGGTTAAACGTTCCATCGTGTGTCTGGCAAATTTACGATCGTTAAGCCAACCCTCGCCCCTGCGGCGTTATCATTTTCACTTCGCCAGAGATATATCAGTTTTTTTTTCCTCGTCCATCGTTGGATAACCCGGCGCGGTTTCTTTTTCTACACGGGCCGAAATAAAAGAACGATATACAATAGGATGATGTATTAAGATTGGACGTCGATTGACGATCCGATAAGGAAGACGAATGGGGATGGTTATTAAGCTGAATCGAAGATGGGCGTTTTGTATATTAGATACGGGGCATTCGTTATTTCATCGTCTTTGTTCTGATTTAATATTATTACTATTAATACTAATAACGAAGTAATTCATTAAATGAAGGAGACGATTCGAAAGAAAATGGAATGGTTTCAAAAACGATGCAGGTTGTTGTTTACAATTTAGCTGACTAGCATCGATTGAAACAACGACGCGAAATTTCATAGGTTGCCCGAGTACATTCCGTTTTTCCAGCGTCGCGGTGGCGATCGGAAGATAGGAAATAAAACGCTCTCCCTATTCATCATGTGTATTGTGCTTGCGTCGACAAAGGGACGCGCAAGTTGATCCCTTATCTGATACAAAGGGCAATACTGCAGACAAACAGCGGCTTTATCCGTAGACGCGAAGTTTACAAGGCTATCAGCCAAACTCTCTCTCTCTCTTTCTTTCTCTCTCTGTCCGTTTGCCCGTTTCGTATCTTGCCTATAGAAAAAGATACGTCAGAACAAAAATGAAACGCACGGCGCACCGATTCCCGGCCCAACATTTACCTCCCGCAATCTCATTCCATTCATTTCTGACCTCCGAGCCAGACAGTCGGGAAATTGAAAATAGTGCACTTAAATGGGACGCGCTGTTTCAAATTTTAACTGTGAATTCTTTCCCAAATGCGAGTGCTTCCCTAGTGATTCTCTTTCGACGAGAAATCACGTTATCGTTATAATTAATTCCGGGAAAGTAAAGAAGCAAAACGGGACAGAGAAGGAAAGCGTGACTTAACAGGTGGCACCATTAACCGCGATGCGAAAGACGCCGCTTTGCAACGCGCGTAGAACGAAATTATCCCTTCTTTGAACCAACTTCGACCAACCTTTTTGCTTTCATCCCCGTCGACGACGCGAAATGAAAAACTTGCAATTTTCCAGCGCGCTCGGTTCCTTCTATATACCGATGTTGGTCATGCTGTTTTTCTACTGGAGAATCTACAACGCGGCGGTCTCGACTACGAAGGCCATTAATCAAGGCTTTCGCACGACAAAGGGCTCGAAAATGCTCGGCTCCAGGTAAACTGTACCTCCACTGTCGCCGAACGGGAAGATAGACGCCATTATTCGTAGTTTCAATCGGCACCATCGGAGACGGTGCGACCCATTCGAGCTTTTAACGACACTATCGAAAATCAACTAGCCTTTGTCTTTCCCTCGGTTGTTTCGCGTTCGAAACTAGTTTAGAAGTTTTCTTAGTTTTCTCTGGTCTCCGGTGGCGTTGGCTTTTTAATTATTACTGCAGTAATTGAGTCGTTAATTTCATTGTGAGAAGAGGAACAAAATCATAATATAATTCCTGTTAAAGTGAGAATTAATTTGTTGACGAATAATGGACGTAGGAATTGAAAAGGGTAGGGCTCGAGGTTGACGGATGCCATGTACATTTTTCTACAGATTCGACGAACAGAGGTTAACGTTGAGGATCCACAGAGGACGGGGAAGCGTGCATAATGGTAGCAACAACGGGAGCCCGAGGAGCCCGGAGTCGAATAGTCGGAATTCGGTGAAAAGGGAGAAGAAGATCAAGATCTCGGTGTCGTATCCGAGCACGGAGACGCTGAATACGAAGTGCAACACCCTCGAGAGAACGCCCTCGAGGTGTTCGCAGACCTCGGTGCACTATAGCAACGGGCAGACGCACAGCCAATTGTGTCCGACTCCCAAGAGCACGCACCTCAAGGTAATCAAACGATTCTCCCCTTCGAATTCAATTTCCTCTTGTGTTAAAACGATCTCGTGGTAGCGTCAAATGGAAAAAAAAATTGCATGTACTCGTTTAAACTGATAAAATATTATGAAGAGAAAAGAGATTATTAGAGATTGTCGACATGTTGATTAAACAGAAAATTTTTTATGTTTGGTATATAAAATTTCATGGTTATACAAAATTGAGTATTTGTATAATTCCGCATGCAATTAAATTTTCGACAATGTAAACCGCACCGAACGAACTGCAGCTCCCCATAAATATACATTTGTGTCCTCGAAAAAGCTGTACTCGCGAATACCAAAATACATAATCCCAGCATTTTTAACTCCCGACTGGAAGGAAAAAGCTGTGCTTCATTAAACTTCGTAATTAGTGCAGCAAACGCACGTATTCTCTTCGAGAAAAAGAACTCAGATAATTACGTTTAGTCCACATAAATAATGTTACCAGTAAAAAAGACCAGATAACTCTATTAATGTGTTTTATGGTTTACTCGAATCTTTTTCTGCAATTACGATTCGCGATTTCCTTGACCGCAATCTACTTTATTTCCGAATTGATGATTCCTATTAAAAGACCGTAGAAAAAAACGAACACAATGCGTTTAACGAATTTTACGAGCGAGAACGAAACGAACGAATGGGTGGTTTATGAGCGAGTAAAATCGTAAAGTCCCGTTCGCGCGGTTCCTTCTCCGCCTCCACCTCCTCTCGCCCCGAGGAAAACGGAGCGTCGTTAAACGGCGACGTGATGCGTTCGCGACAGGTGAGCGGCATAAACAGGGTTGGCAGCACCAGGAGGCCCAGCAGACGCAGTAGCTGCGAGAGTCAGATGATGGGCGACGAAGTCTCGTTGCAAGAGCTCACCCAAGGCAGCGAGGACAAGCCCAGGGTGACCAAAATGGGCAAGAGGAATATCAAAGCTCAGGTATCATTCAAAACATACAAATTGGATTCATTTGGAAAATATTTGCAAATCTTTGTTGGTTTTCGAATTATTAAATGCAGCATAAAATTAAATATGAATAAATGAGAACAATTTGCGAAGGAAATCTAGAGGGATTTGATAATGTGAAACACAGGTGAAGAGATTTCGAATGGAGACGAAAGCGGCGAAGACGCTGGGCATCATCGTCGGTGGTTTCATCCTCTGCTGGCTCCCGTTCTTCACGATGTACCTGGTGCGCGCCTTCTGCGCGAACTGTATTCACCCCACCGTGTTTAGCGTGCTGTTCTGGCTAGGCTACTGCAACTCCGCCATAAATCCGTGCATCTACGCGTTGTTCAGCAAGGACTTCCGGTTCGCGTTCAAGAGAATCATCTGCAAGTGCTTCTGCAAGCGGCGAGCGAATACTTTGAGGCGTGGCAGCGATGGAAGCCAATTGGCGATGAGGTGAGCGATTGATTTCTAATAATCATAATCAATAATGATAAGTGTTCTTCGTATTATTCAAATCGAAGTGAAAATTCTTCCTTGAGGCGATTACTGACGAGGAGTTTAAGTTAGAAATTTAGGAGACGTCAGTAGTATAAGTCAATAATAAAGATNGAAGCCGAACTGAATATTTTTCAAACATGCTATCAAAGTTTGAAATTAAAATTGACTGAATCAAATTATTATTAAAATCTTATAGACACATAAATATCAGTTTTTTAAAACAATATCGAGCGAATGTATTTGTCGCACGAGATGAAATTAATCACGTTCATCTCATGAAACGCTGACTCGAGTAACAAGTTTATTAGAGAAACTCGTTAGTCATATTATCGAACTCTGTCTACGGAAGCTGCGCTACAATCTGGGATCGTTTTGCTCGTAGAAACGACCGGAGTCCCAGCTACTCGATTCAGGTGCCTCAGCAGGGTGCGTCGATCGACGACTCGGATCACGACCCCAGCTCCGATCCGACGGTGCACTCGCAGAGCGAGTCGAGATGACTGTAGCGCGGCGGGTGTGGCGCGCAGCGCGTCACCTTCGACCCGAGGACCTCCAAAGTGAGGATCCAGTCCTTCTGAAGAACCTCGGGAACGATCGAGCACGGTTTCGATCGTTCCCCATCTCAAAGTCGGATCTCGATCCGAGCCGAGGATTCGCGGCAAAACAGTCGAGCTTCATATCGGTGTCTTACCTCGTTCCGTTAGCGAAATCGCGAATCCGAAACGTTCCACGAAACGAATTCGCTCAAACTAGTCGTAGCTCGAGACTGATGTATGGGAATGAACGAACTGATCCGGTGTGACATCGTAGAGATGAATCTTGAGCCATTCAAGGATGTTGAAGTTCCGCTAAGATTAGTTAGAATAATCGCAAAAATTCAACCGCGAAGTACGAGAGATTGACAAATGAATGAGAGAGAGAGAGAGAGAGAGAGAGAGAGAGATTAAGAACGCGAGATTAATGAACGTAAATACGTGTCGATATCTACAGCATATGTGTACCGCAACCTATGTTAAAGAAGCAGGTTTGGTTAAATCTTTCGTGACCAACGTACGTTAGTTGGCCACGGTTCTAAACTCCTTCTGGCCTCTCGCAAGCGAAACCGCCACATCGTTGCCGCCATACACATTGTTTCCGTAGATTTTTTACCGTTCCTCGTTGGTTATTTGTGATATAATAGCGTTTAAAAACGGCAGCTTTCTGCCGAGCCACGCGACGCATGGGCATGTCGCGGAGGCTGCTTCGAAAAATCATAGATCGCCGATTAGATAAGAGAAGACTGCCCCGGGAACACGACGAAAGAAATGGGAGAAATGAGAAATTTCAAAATGATACCGGTGTGTCGATTCGTTTAAAAAAAATCATAGATCGGTGGTTAACATCGCGAAACTGCCTCGGAAACTATGAAAAAGAATAAGGCACACTCGGGGAACGTCCTGCAACAGGTGTAACGAAGCATAGTAACGAGCCACGGAATCGTACGAACGTAAGTGTTGTTATATTAATGCAATTTATGAGACGACGGAGACTCGTGTCAGGACATTTTGCGAGGGCTCCGTTTTTCGTACGTCGTACGTCGAGGCAGGGGGACAGAGCCCGAGAAAATCGGCGAGGTTCATTGTATTATGTGATATACCGTCTACAATACGTAACGAAACGAATGCAAAAATAAATATTGCGAATAAATCCATGATCGTTGATTCGTCCTGGTAATTAACCATTACCCCAATTACTCTCTCGCTTTTCACGACTCTTCATGAATTTTCGTATTTATATACGTATTATTTTATGTGCTTCGAACGCTGGATTTATTACTTGAAAAGTAATAAATGCGCCGTGACTGGAAATATTTATTTTCTGATCTTTCAAAGATTCAACAATTTTTATATTCGACGAATTGTACAAATGGAAATATGATTTCAGAGAAGTGTATTTTCATCGAAGTCTGATGCAACCTCATCGTTCAGGTAAGTATATATATAATATATAACTTATTATATTATTTATAAAATAGAAATTGATCTAACGAGCGAGAGCAGGTGAAGAGTGCGCAGCTTTATATCGAAGATCGTAATTTATTGATCTGCTCTAAAACCAGCGACAATTACATAACACGTGCTCGCCCACTCACTCGTTGGCTGTCTTAACGCCAATAGAAATTGGGTGCAATCGTTGGTAACTGCATCTCTTTTCCCAGTATTTTATTTTTTTAATAACAATCTCTTTAATGAAAATTTCTATATTTGTATCGATAACGTTTGAATAGTGAGTGAAAAACATTTTTAATAAAACCGTTGAATTGTCTCGTTCGAAACAAAATAAGTATTCCATTGCCTGGTCACTGCTATCGTCCATTTCGTTCATTTATTTTTCACACTCGACTATTTGAACTTCAGCATTCCAATCGATATTCAACTCCGGTTCACTCCATTTCGTAGATTGGTTCAGTTACATTAAATACCAGAGCACGTTCAAACAGACTCGAGCATACTAGCAGTTCAGAGTCAACATTCGATTAAAATGGTTTTAAATTTGTACGATCCACGGGAGGGAATAACATTTTTTCATGCACATACATTCTACAAACAAGCAAAAAGTTGAAGAGCTGTTTATAAAAATTTATTTCATTCTCTTCTGTTTCGTGATCGTTCCAATGTCAAATGCTGTTTTTTAAGGATGTATTGGCTATACAATCAATCTCCAAAATTTATTTACCTCAGACAAACGCATTTCCTATAATTAAAAAATTTTATTGGCATTGACGAAATCCGACCGTCTCACCGTCGAAATGGTGAACTTTTGACAAAAAATTTGGTTTTTCCTCAATTACTCCTAAAC